TTTTTTCTTGCTTCTTTTGAAAAGTGAAGGTTGATTTTGCAGGACATAAATTCTTCTTAAAGGTAGATTTATAATATGGTTACGTGATTTAATTGGAAATATTTGGCGATGTATCTATGGGCATGAAAATATGGTAATGGAAAAATTCAGTGGGCAGTATTGAACTTGACCTTATCTCTAAAAGTCTAAATTATATAAAACCAGGTAATATACAGTATGCACTGCACCCTGTTTTTGAGATGAATCTGTGGCCTTGCTGGGTTGACAATTTTGGGTCATCTAGAATTTCTGGAATGTTCTGCGCTCTAAGAAAGTTCTTTGTGGTTTCGCATTGAAAATGATTTTTTTTTCTTATTTTTTAAATATTCCATCCACTCTACACGTATGTTTTATCGTTTAATTTCAACTCCTCTGACTATTCTTTTTTTTTTTTTTTCAGAAAATTAATTATTTATCACGAAGGACTTTTACTACTTGGCAATGATGGATGCGAGGAATTAGATTTTGCTTTTTCCAAACATTATTTTCATTGGAATTTCTTTTAATGAAAACATTGTTTTCAAACATGGTTAATTATTCCTGGCAATTTTGATTTTGCTTTTTCCAAACATTGTTTTCTAGACTGTGAATTTCAATTAACAACTGTTTAGACGATCAGGCCCTGAGTAAGTTCGTCTAGCTTAGCATTGATCTCTACCAGTTGTTAATCCCTTCAGTTCTGGTGTTCTGAACGCTGCAGTGACCTGGAATGTTACCTGCACATATTCACAGTTCCTGGCCAGGAAAAAGCCGAATTGCAGCATCTCTGTCTCCTCTTTCTGCAATGAAACAATCACTCCTTGTCCATCCTGTGCCTCTGGATACCGGGACAAGAACAAATGTGTCAAGTAAAACTCCTATTTTCACCTCAACTTTATACATCCCTGAAGTGCAGAGATTTCAACAGAAACGATCCAAAACACAGATATACAAATTTAGAACAATTTTCTAAACGAATCACTAAAGTGTTGTGTACCAAAATTGTAGACTAATTCATACAATCAAACAAATGATTCAGAAAAGAAGCATGAATGCTAATTAGCAAAACATATTCTTTGTTAAACATCTCTTATTTCTGTTACATCTATATTACTTGTTCAGCAGTGGAAAATCTAAAATGAGGGTGATTTAGGTACAGAACCAATGAGGCATACAACAAGTGACTGAAATGGCAGCCAATGGGAAGCCACAAAGAATTTCAACAAATAAAACAGCACCTTGAACCACTTGAACAGCCACAAATCAGTTACACACTACAACATTTTGCTTTGCCAGTTTGCATGCTATGGGATTTCACTTGTTTCGGTCAAAAATCGTGGATGCTACTTTTTGCAGCATAATGGCGAAGGAGTTTAAGCATATCCCTGTAAGAAAGCCACTGCTGAAAGTATAGTCATGACTAGACCGAGGGTGTAGATAAGCTGCCTGGAACTAGCATTGGGCAACCATGGGTAGGCATCGGGTGGTGGCATGACACAATTATCTCCATTGAAATAGATCCTTCTAGGGAAAGCCCAACCCTTCTCAAAGGTAAAAGTCGATTTATCCTTTTGGAAAAGTAGCTCTGACTGCACATTACCAGCTGGACCTGCTTGCATGAGCAAATCGTTGTAGAACTTAACTCCCCATAGCATGGCAGTATCATCTGTAAAGAAAAATAGATGAAGGTGATGCATCCAATATCTTCAAAAACAAATTGTGATAATTCACTTTCAATGTTCATTTTAGAAGTGCATTTTCATTTTCCTTGTTCAATTATTGGATTGGTTAAAGAGGAAAAATTAGAATATTTCCCGGTACACAAAAAAAACAAGTCTAGCCTCTACTTCCACACATTTCTCTCAAATCATGAATAATAGCAAGATCATTAGAAATGCCATTTCTGGAATAAAAATACTACAAAAATTAGATTGGTCTAAACTGCAGCTTGACTATGCATTGCAAGAGATGCAAAAGGCATGAGTTAGTCCCCAAACAAACGAGACTGAATACGAAGGATTAGAACTTACTTATAGCTCCGTATGGAGTTAATGGCTTGTAGTTGAAGCTGAAAATCTCTGTCAGATTGTCAAAGTTAGGATGCTGAACAACTAGGTTCCATTGTGTGTAATTCATAATGTAGTTGAAATTTGTAATTGTGACTTTAACCCGCCAGTACTCCTTGTAGTTCACCTTAACATGCCAGTGAACTCTGATTGGGCACATATGGCTTGTACATTGGACCAAAGGTGTATAGCTGTTCTTCCCTGCACTTGGAACAACTGATGCCAAATGTGGAGTGTTTGGGCTGTAGATCAGTGGCTAAATATTTTAGACACCAATAAAAAGAAAACATGTAACATCCAATGAACATATATGCAACACAAATTAGTAGTTTTAGCTGAGAGAACTTACTCTATACAGCTTCCAGACAGAGAAGTATTTTGGCAGCCACAAGCACATGTTGGGCAGGGTACTATTGTGCTATTGTAGAAGGATGAGAGTGAGACACAGCAAGTAGGAGCTTTCTGAGCCAGAAATTGTGAATATGTGCACGTAACATTCCATGTCACTATCATAAAACAAGAATAAGGCAATTAGAAACATCTATACAGGTACAAGTTCAAAGAATGCATCTGATGAGAATGCTCATGGAAAGTTCTTCATTGCCTAAATGCATATCAGCTATAACACTGCATCAATTGAAAATACATTGCTCCTTTTACTTAGCCCAGATAAATATTAGCAAATTGAATCAGAGTTTAGAATATCATCTTTAAAGCAAAGATCAGTAATGACATAATTTTGAAATTTGGAAAAAATCATAATATGAGGCACAAATACTAAGAATTCCACATCTTTATTGAGTAACTTACTCAAAGCTTGTGTGAATCTCCTTTTATCAGCAGTAATGAATTTACTAGGCTTCACAATTTTGGCAGGCCCACAAGTGTAACCAGGCCCTGGTGCCTTCAGAGTGAAGTTTTTAGGCACTCTGACTGTCTTATTAGTTGTTCCAGCTTGACCTACACTCAGCTGGAATGAGGTTGCTGCAGTGGCTGGATCCTGTGCCCATGAGTTTATCACCCCCCCTTTGCAGCAATTTGCAATCTGCTGGTTGTAAGGGGTTCCTGGTAATAAATCCACAACAGTTGGATCCTTCTTACAGCAATGTGGAATGTTCCCTTTGAATCTTGAACAATCCCCTTGTTCTGTGGTCTGACCTCCCATCATGCTCCATATTACTTCTTTCTTTGCCCATATCCATCCCAAAGACCACCCTGGTGCTTGGATATGGCGATATTGCTGGAAGTTGTAGATTGTGACAACAGCCTGCCATATCATTAACAAGCCAATTACATCTCCAGCCATTTTGGATTAGATTAAATCAATTGGATACCTCATACACCCACTAAAGCCTAACTCAACACCTTTAATAGGACACCAACAAGAACTATAGTCTACAGATTATAGTTACAAAAATGTTCATAGATGTTCCTATAATCCTATGTGAGATTCAATGCTTGAGAAGCTTTAGTACAACCAGAAGAAAACAGAAATGTTCAGAACTTCGTTGGGCATCCAAAAAATTCTGTTATTTAATGCTTCAAGAAGAACTCAAGAGCAATATTTAAGTCATTCAGATACTAGTCCATAGTAATTCCAGTCATATCCTCTCTAGCCAACTATATTACATAGCCAGTTATCAAAGTAGTCTCTCCAAGAATCTAGAGAAAGCAATCAAAGAATGAAAAATAATCAGGAAAAACATTAACCTATTATGAAAGTGGAAACATAAACAAACTCAAATTTGCATGAATTTGTTTTAGTAGTGGAGGGTGGATAGGTAGAATGAGAGAAATAAATTATCTTATTTCAGTAACAAATTATCTAAATTAACCAATACTTACAACATAGCCATCTGGAGTCCAGCTCATGATATCCCATTTGATTGTGATGTTTCCACTTGGATCCAGCGGATCATAGGCCTCTGAAATTATAGATGAAAAATAATAATAATAATAATAATCACAAAATGCACCTCAAATTTCAACTCTATCTCAGTATCTCTTACAAATAAAGAATTTGTATTCACAGAAGTAGGTAATTGGCAAAGAGTAAAAGACCTTTTAGAGATTTTAGTTGTCTCATCAACATAGGAACTGATACATACAACCAGTTTTAAGAATGTAAAAAACTTTAGATAACTATAAATATCATGCATACGCCAGGACTAGCATCCATCATGAAGCAGAGAATTTGGTGACCCCCTCAAATTCTAAAGATCATTTTCAATACCTTTATGACTCATTCTGTACAGAAAGGGTTAAACAGTCCGAAGGAAAATAATTACTTTTAGCCAAGACAAAAAATTTTCAACTGAAAACAGCATGCTTCTCTTTTGGTTGGCATTTGGCCAAACTGTAAGAAGGTAAATAATACTCCCATGAAAGAAACTAAAAATTCTTCCCACATTTATCTCCCATCAGTCTGATGCTAAGAATACCCAGCATGTTAGTCTACGGCACATCCATAACCCGTTTTAGAAGGCCGAAATACCATATCAAATGCTCTTAAAGAGCAATAAAGGCTAGAACTTTCAGATAACCAATGAACCCCAACTTCCAAATATATCAAACTCAGGAAATACCATCAAAATGACAGAAAATCGTCAAACTAATAGAAGCCCATTAACAACAACAAGAACCAAAACAATAAAGTTCAAAACTTGAAAAGCTTCAAACAAAGAAAACAAAGACTCGACTAACCTGTTGCAGTGAAGCTTGTGCAAGAAAGCGAAAGGAGAACCAAAACAGAGCAAGAAATGACCTTGAAAAAAGACCCGGGAATGGGTAAGGCTAGAAGACCCATTTCTTGAATCAAATCCACTTCTTGGTTTCAATGTCCTCGCCTGGGTTTCTTTCAGGATCGGCAACAAGGAAGTCTCTAGAGAGAACCAGCGAACGCGGTTGTGAACATCGTTTCTCCTTTCTTTAACATGGCAAGGCCGTAGTTTAAGAACTAAAGTGCAACTCAACTCATCAACTATTACTTTTTTAATAATAACTAATTAGTTTAAATTAATAATGAAAAATTAAAGGAAGTGATTGCGGGGAAAGAAAAAGAAAATGGTCTTTGATTGCTTGGTTGTCAATAACAATGGACAAGAAATGAAGAATGTGAATTTGGCTTAATTTACAAGCAATAAGAAAATCCACGGATTTGAATTTTTTTTTAAAAAGAAGAAAAGAAAATCTATTGAGTAGGGAGATATCAAACAAGATGCGTTACAGTTGTTAGTGATGATAACAGAAAATGAGAGGAATCAGAGCTTGGCATGTTCCATCAGGTTCGAGGAAGTGCATGGGATAGAAACTTTGACTATCTTTTGACCTGGTGGTTGGTGGGACACATTCCATGGCAATGGTTTGTCTGTCATTCTGTACTGCTACTGACATTGTTATTTAAACATTGTGTGTATATCTGGCATGGCGTCTAGTATAAGGTCATAACTGGCTTCCTACTGCTACGTCAAAACACACAATTCCTAATTATAATGAAAAATGCAGGACGGGTGCAACTTTGAGATTCCAACTAGAGGTTTTAAGTTACCGAAGAGGGGGCTGCAGTTTCTCATTCAGCCCATAAAATAACCCCCAAAAAAAAAAAGAAATTCTTACAACAAAAAGTTTTGGGACCAAATTGAAATTCAGCCTAAAAGTTAAGGATCAGAAACAAATCGACAATCTCTGCATTTTTTTATTTACTGCAAAACTATACGGTAACCTTGTAATGACGAAATAATACTATGATATGATATTATATAAATAGATATTTATAATATTATATTAAATTTTTTAATAAAAATTTAATTATATAATAATATAAAATATTATCAATTTATAATATTATGTGATGTTATAACTATAATTTTTTGTTTTTTTCACATCACATAGATTTTGCTGATGAGACAACAAAAGGGGTGCTTGTTTTGTTTTTTGAAAATAATTATCAATTATTCGTTTTTACTAAATGAATTATATATTTTAAATTATAAATAATAATAATTATCAGTAATTAAATATTCTGTTATCAATTATTAGTTGCATCTAAAAAACGCAATCCAAACGACCCAAAAATACCACTTGCATGATGGGTTTTGTATAGACTGTTGGGCTATAAGTGGACCACATTGGGTTTTTAAATACAGAACGTACTCTTGGCCCAAACAAAAAAAAAAAAAACAAAAAAAGAGAACGAAAAACAGACCGGAAAACATGCCTCGGCGACGTACGAGAAATCTATCTATAAACCAAAATTCGGCCTTTCATTTAAATAACAAACGTTTCAAGAGAATTTGGTTTCGCTCCAAGAAAACAACTTCCCCTTTTTTGCTTTCTTCTCTACAGATTTGGTTTGTTTTTTCTTTCGCTGGGGGCAATGAATCATTGATTGATTAATGCAAGGGATTTTGATTTCTTCCATTAATCGAAGAATCCATGGAGGCACCAAGTTCCCGGGTCCCTTCCTTTGGTCAGGCCGAGATTAACTGGGAGAAGTACGTTTTAATTATTGCTTAATTCAAGTTTGTATTTTTAAGAAATTTCTCTTTTTTTTTTTTTTTTTTTTTGGCTGATTGGGTGATGAGCTCTTTGAGCTTAATTTTTAGGTGCTGATTTTGGTTGATTATTATTATTAATTTCAATAGAAAGGATAAAGTACGAGTCTTGATGTAGTCACTGGATTTGGGTTTGGATTCTGACTTGAAAATTGAACTAAATGTTGATTGTAGGGAAGTGGGTTGGTTTTGATATTGATTCTTATTTTGGGTTTGGGTTTTAGGTTTTTTTTTTTTTTAGGGGATGGATAAAAACCTGCTCCTTTGATAAGTTCTGTAGCCAAATTGTTATGTTTCTGGTCATTTTTCTTTCCTGCATATTTGACTCTTAACTAGAAGTTATGGAAGTTGTGTTTTGTTTAATGTAGAAAAGTGGTGAATTTTTTGGCTGCATTTTGAATTTGTCAAGGCAATGGGCAGTAAGATTCATTGTTTGACTTGTTAATAGATGATAGATATTATGAGAGTTCAAGATTTTATTAAATGGACTCAACTTCCTCTGGCTTCATGGATAACTGTGTAACTCTGATACCATTTGTAATGGCCCACAAACTACAGACACGTCCACTGTGGTTAGGGGTGTTAGCCCTTATAAGTCACTCCAGAAGTCCTTTTCTAACCAATGTGGGGCTCTTGGTTGGGGAGGGTTATTATAAACTGTACTTATTGAAGCGGCTATGAGGAAATCAGAAAGTGGAATCCACGTAGCATAGATCTTTTTGATGCCTTAACCAAGAGTTTATGGGAAAATCATATTTCAATATGGTAATAAATTCCCCCTCCTCCCACTCCCCTCCCTTTTTTTTTTTTTTTTGTAATTCAATTACGATATTGTATGAAATTATGATTTCTTCTATTCTCTGATGATTAATGAGTTACCAGATTGAATACTTTTTTCCTTCACTTTTGTATGTATTTTCAAAATTAAATAATTTACACTTCATGGGATATGGTTATCTTGCTATCTGACAATGATAGTTCTTCAACTATTTCTTCTATGACTTTTAAGTTTGACTGCTTTGTGCTCATTATTCTGTCCTTCAATGCAGGCTCGACAAAACTAAGTTCTACGGTTTAGGAGCTGGAATCTTTACAGGGGTTACAGTAGCATTATACCCAGTCTCAGTTATAAAAACCAGACTTCAGGTTGCTTCAAAGGACACCATTGAAAGAAATGCATTTTCAGTTGTCAGAGGCATTTTGAAAACAGATGGAATTCCAGGTCTGTATAGAGGGTTTGGGACAGTCATCACTGGTGCAATTCCTGCCAGGATTATTTTCCTAACAGCTTTGGAGGCCACAAAAGAGGCTGCTTTCAGAATGATTGAACCTTTTAAATTATCTGAACCTACGCAAGCAGCTATAGCAAATGGAATTGCTGGCATGACAGCTTCACTTTTTTCTCAAGCTGTCTTTGTTCCAATTGATGTGGTTAGTACTCCTTATTCTTATGTGAGAATTTATTTCCCATTAGTTTGGTCTGATGTTTTTATCAAAACAGTAGTGACTCTTGTAGTTCAGTAGATTTATTGATTCTAAGTAATAATACTGCAGAAGGTTTAGTATATCAGAAGATATCTTGTCAGCGATAATCCTCAAGATTTGAGCCTTGAGCTTAAGAATTAAAATTGGTCTCTGCTCTAGTCTTATTACAGATGCTTCTTCCACCTCAAGAAAATGGGAAAAGAAATGCTGGAGATTTCAAATTCTTTTGATGAATTATGTGCAGGTAAGCCAAAAACTGATGGTACAGGGATACTCAGGCCATGCAAGGTATAATGGAGGACTGGATGTTGCTCGTAAGATTATAAAGGCTGATGGAATGCGAGGATTATACAGAGGATTTGGTTTATCTGTTATGACTTATTCTCCTTCGAGTGCTGTATGGTGGGCAAGTTATGGTTCAAGCCAACGCATCGTCTGGAGGTGGGTTGTGATTTGTTGTTGTTGTTGCAATCAATATTGTTTCTGTCTCTCACAGAAACAGGTAGGATAGGTGTTTAATTTTCTTTTCAAGACAAGGCTAGAAAATGTTAGCATCTTGATAATCAGCTAGATGTGTTAAAAGAGGTTATAACAGCTATAAGAGAAAGCTAGAAAGTATTGAACAATTACTTTTAATTAAACCCTAAGAGAAAGCTAGCATATATGGCCGAAATGTTAGTTATTAATTTATTATTACTGCTGCTGTAGCTTGGATATTACTTTGTGAATGGTAAGGTCGTAGAACAGCTCTGTAATAACTTTGCCTTTTTTCCAACCCTTAAAATAAAATCCATTGATTATAAAATTTTGGCAAATAGAAGGATAAAAAACTCTAATTACTAACTTAGAGGCATTATACAACCAAAATGATTTCTTGATCACTTTAAGTTGCTGTTGCAGGGGGAAGGGGGGATATAAAGTCTTCATCCCTTACATTGTGTGATATATTTCTTCTTTATAACATTTCTGATTGCTTTGGCAGTTTCTTAGGCCAGGGCACTGATCTTGAGAAAGCTCCTCCTAGCCAATTGACAATAGTGTCAGTTCAGGCTGTTGGAGGAATTATTGCTGGTGCAACTGCTTCCTGCATCACAACCCCATTGGACACTATTAAGACCCGCTTACAGGTAATCTTATGACTATATTGCATCAAACTATCTTCCTCTTTCTATGGTTCTCCTTTCAGTATCCCTGACTGCTGCATAGTATATTTGCTGTTAATATGTTGTGATTAGAACCATTCTATATCTTAACTTAGAGGGAACTGCTTACTAAACATGTGTCACTGAGTGTGATAATTCAGTCTAATTTTAATTAATTGCCAAAGATCTTTTTTTATTTTTTTTGCCAAAAAAGTACTAGTTAATTTTGTAATTATTTTGAGTATTGTATGGTGCTTGTCCCATTTAATTTGTGAGAATGGTTAAGTTGAGAGGTTTTTGCATGGATATATGTGTTGTGACTATGCATGTCATTTCTCTCCATTTGTGTGTGTGTGTGAGTTAAGAAAAACTGTGAGGGCTAGTTCTCTCTACTTGAGCAGTTGGACGTTTATCTCTATGATCTGAATATTCATCTTTCATTTTGTGATAATAGTTGTTTTTCCATTCTAGGTGATGGGGCATGAAAAACGACCCTCTACAATGCAAGTAGTAAAAACCCTAATTGCAGATGATGGTTGGAAAGGTTTATACAGAGGGTTAGGTCCAAGATTTTTCAGCATGTCAGCATGGGGAACGTCGATGATATTAGCCTATGAATATTTGAGTAAGGATACTTTCCTGTCATTATCACTTAGAATTTTGTCTATTTTTACTGTAAATGATGAGAGAGACAAAGCTATAATGGCATTTAATTTATTCAGGTTGATGCTTGACCATTGTACAAGTAGCAGTGTTCCATACCTTTTCCAAAACTATTACAACTATTGCTACTAGTGACTAGTCTACTACCGGTCATTTTTTCTTTGACCAGTTAGCTTGTGAGCTACTATGTAAATGGTATTGTTTCTAGATTATGGCAATCCATGTTTCTAGCATCAATGGTTTTATTTGTTTTGATTCACTGGTCCATTGCTACTCTTCAACTCTCTTTCTTCTATAACTGCTGAATCTCAAAATTCACTTAATGCTGCTATAGAATGAAATGTAAAGGTGCATAATATTCTGGCGATGCTGGTTGTTAAGTGGCTGCTAAAACATGTATGCTGTGGAGAGTGACAATTAGGATTGGCTGCATAAGCTATCTGACTTGATAGGAGCTAGAAGTATTTTGTTGACATATGAAGCTTCTATAGGTTACCTTCAGATACTTCATAGAAAGTAGTACAAAGCTGCAAATAGTGTTCCAGTCAAGGCATTGTGAACTTACATGTCAGAATGAAAATCGTGCAAATGGTGTTCCAGTCAGGCATTCTGAATGGTAATGAAAATCTAGGATGTTTTATGTAGCATTTTAGCATTTAATTAAGAGAGAATTGATAAGCCTTTGTGTAAGTATAACTATTCTTAATATAGTGGTTGGTGAAATGCATCCTTCCATCCCCTCTCACCCCTCTTATTATACTTTTCAACTGATGAAAAACATTTTAGCTTCCTATAATCTATTTTGTGCCTGAGAAGTTAGGGTGCAAATTTTTTATATTTTGACTATGGACATTTAACTTTTTCAATCCTTATACTCTCACCTTATCTTTTGCTGCATATGGTGCATCATGCTTTAGTTCTATAGTTCTTTTTGGGCCTGCCTCATCTTGTCTCTCACACTTTCTGAATGTGTGATTTGCTGTAATCTTTAGTTTATTATTGTTCTTAAAAGCTGACCACAGTCTAATAATATCTTCATTTTCAATTCAGAGCGCTTGTGTGCAAAAGATGCATAAGTATGGTCAAGTACAGCTGGACTGACAGCTTTGGTTCTTTCGTTTTATGATTTAGAGCTGGGTTTAAAGCTGGCTGAGGATTTATTATACCTGCTAATGACTTCGCTAGATGAGCACAACAGATTATTTCCTTTCGATCTCCAAATTCAGAAAAAGTCTGCTCTTCTTGCGGCAATTTGTTATATCATTTTCGAAACTCCAACTTTATGGTAATACCTGCTGTTCTGAATTTCTACTCTTTTTTTAAAAGGGCTTTGAATCCGGCTAAGATTCTTTCAATATTTTGAGCTGGATTTTGTAGTGTTTCTTTATGATAAAAGTTGTAATCTCTTACATATAATAGCGGGTATATCTTTAACTCGTTAAATTTTTGGAATAATGTTAAGACTATTATGTTGATGTTTTTGTAATCTTCTACGAGTACTTGATTCAAATCCGAGCTGCAAGGAGTTGCTCGGTAGAAGTAAATGATTAAAATTTTCTTTTAAAGTATTTGCAAGATTGGAGAAGTTGTATGTGTCTGTAAGGCATTACATTGATTGTGAAGAATTAAAAGGAGACATGATAGCTGGTTAGAAAATTTTACAGGACAAAAAGTGCTTGTAGTAGATGCTAGGAATAATAACATAACCTTGATTATTGAAGTTGTAATTGTCTGCCCTTATTGTCCTAGAAATGAGAATGAGTAATTTTTACTCATCTGCAGCTGAGAAGCTATCTTCATTAATGTCTGTCTCATATAGGTATTCATTATAATCTCTAAGGGAGACATGGAACGGAACTTCTTCATAAGCGTAGTCAGCATGAGGATTGACAGCCTTCATAACAGAGTCAGCTCTCTCCTGCAGCTCCAATGCAAGCTCTAATGTCACCTCTACTTCTCCCATTGTTGGCCGTTCATTGGCCTTTGGATGAATGCAACTGAATGCAATCTCCAGGAATTCTATCAAACACACTGGTGCTATCTTCCCTTTCAGATATGGATCAATGATATCATGAATACTGCCAGCTTTG